AAAATTGCGGCTAAAGTGGACAGCCATTGCCAAGCAGCCCTGACAGAGACGCGAACCAAGAACCAAACAGTTAGTCACAGCTTTCCCTACAAACTAGCAAAACAAACAAGCAGATGAAGTTCACAGAGAAACTTTTCAAACTGCTTCATCTTCCCCCGAGTGTTTTATGCCCACTAATGCCCCCGTCTGAGGCCACGGAGTCCTCCCTTTTTCCTCCAGTCGCTCTCTTTATATACACCGGGCAGCGCTCCAGCTATTAACCCGGGGATTTGAAGCACATTTACTTCCTCTAAGTCACACATAAGACCTCCCAGAATGCCCCCAAAGAGTGTCATTCGGCCGTTCATTATGCTGGCCCCCGCTGAACACCTGCAGGGCCTCCTTGATCCTCCGTCCCATCGGACCTGAATTACACAGGCTCTATGTCAGTCAGCTCCGTAATGGCACAATCTCACAGGCGGCCTGCAAAGTAAAGAAAGACCATTAAAAGTCCCAAACCGTGTATTTATCTACGGTCTTGTACTTCGCACTATGTGGTGAGTTGTTTGTTGGGGTTTTGCCTCCGTGAAAACAGCGCTTTATACAAAATGATACTATTTGCTTTGTTTTGCACAGGGAAAAGCAGAAATGAAAAAAAAAAAAATTATGTTTGTTTAAAAGGCTTATGAAAAGTGAGCAAAAATGATTCTTGTAAACAACATATATCCTGATAATCCCAGTTGGAACAGAGCCTCTCTGAGTGGAGTTTGCATGTTCTCCCTGTGTCTGTGTAGGTTTCCTCCAGGTGCTCCGATTTCCCTGACTACAAAAAAACATGTACAATAGGTCTGGCATGGGCCTCCTGTACTGACCCTGGTCTCTGTGTGGAGTCAGAGGCAAGACCACAAGAATTGTAAACCGCTTTGTGACTCTGGTCCGTGAAAGGCGCTAGATCAGTGTCTCCCAAAGTGGGGTCCGCGGCCCCCTGGTGGGCCGCGAGGGTACTGCAGGGGGGCCGCGGGAGGTCATAAAAAAAAAAAAAATAATAATATTATTATTTAATGTTAAATTTATAATGTTTTGTTTGTAATATTAAAATATTTGTGTTCATTATTTGACTTGAATAATCCACTGTAATCATTTTTGTATTACAATGTTTGTAGCAGAGGCTATTTCCCCAAAATAAAATAACCAGAAGAGCCTATTCTTAATGTTGTCTTCTTGGTTATTATTTTGGGGGGCCACGCAGACCCGTCAGATTTTTAAGGGGGCCTCGGTGTTACTGAGTTTGGGAATGGCTGCGCTAGATGAATAAGAACTACTTACTTACTTACCTCCATCCATCCATAGATTTTCTTCCCCTTTATCCATTTCTGGGTCGGGGGGGTGTCAGTCAGAGGTGCACCCAGTACACAGAGCACCAGCCCCTCTACTTACTTACCTACTTGATATTATTCTCCTTTCAAGCCCAAAAAAACCAAGCACTTTTGAACTGTGTGTATTCATTTGCATTGTTTTTCAAATGAGAGGCACACACACACACACACACACACGCACACGCACACACACATCAGATATAATACAATGTCATGTAAAAAAAAATAGCTCAAACTCGCGGCTGAGCTTTCCTTCCCTTGAGAAAGAATGTCGGGAAAACTTGCTAAAGCCTGGTTCACGCGAGACGATTTTGAAATTGTCGCCGATTTTCCAAACCTGAGAGACCCCACACACGGAGATAGAAAATCAAGGTTCTAACTACTTTGGTGAAACAGTGTGTGGTGCCCAGTCATGAAATCACGTACACACATCACACACAAACCCATTCCACTCTCGAGCGTTCCCAGGTCAGACGGAAATCTCCCAAAATCTCTGGAGATCAAACGTGACTTCAGAGTAAACAATCATGGCGGACCGAGAGGATGCAGCGGCGATAGTTTTTTTTTTCTAACAGAAAAAAGCGTTATCAAAGGAAAAGGCGCTGGTCAAAGAAGTGGAGACAATGAGAGCTCAGTCTATCCTCTCGGTCTATCTCTGACATCCACTGGACTTTTTTATTTATTTAATTATTTGACAGGGACAAAGCAGTCATACATACACAGCTGCATTAGTAAAGCTGCAGCTGATGCGACACATGCAGAGAGTGTCGCTAATGCTAATGTTCACCTCCTGTCCTTGGTTGAGCTTTTTCCGACAGTGCCTCACATTATTTTCTGCTGCTGCCGCTGACTGTTATGATTTTTATTCCCGGTGTTTCCTCGCCGCCTCGTCACAAGGCAAGGAAAGTTTATAAATAATAACAGTACATTAAAAAAGAAAGATGACAATATAAAAGTTGTATGCACAGCTAAACAAATTTGTTTTTTAGCCTGGTTTTAAACATTGTCAGAGAGGAGGCCTGTCTCACATCTTCAGTAAGTAATCTTTATTTATATACCGCCTTTTCACTGCAGATCTGAGTCTCAAAGCAGTTTACAATTGTTAATTTTTGGGCATTTGTCTCTCACTCCACACAGAGGAGCAGGGTCGCCAGTAAAGAAGGCGCATGCTAGAACTATTGTACATATTTTTAGTGGTAGGGGAAACCGGAGTACCCGGAGGAAACCTACGCAGACACGGGGAGAACATGCAAACTCCACTCAGAAAGGCCCTGGTCCGACCGGGATTCGAACCCAGGACCTTCTTGCCGAGAGGCGAGAGTGCTATCCACTCAGCCACCGTGCCGCCCAACAATCTTCAGGAAGATTGTTCCAGATTTTAGCAGCATGAATCTGAAAAGCAGCCTCCCCATGTTTAGTTCTGACTCTGGGCACCAGCAGGAGTCCAGTCCCTGTGCTCCTCAGAGTCCCATCAGGAGTCCAGTCCCTGTGCTCTTCAGAGTCCCAGCAGGAGGCCAGTCCCTGTGCTCCTCAGAGTCCCAGCAGGAGGCCAGTCCCTGTGCTCCTCAGAGTCCCAGCAGGAGGCCAGTCCCTGTGCTCCTCAGAATCCCAGCAGGAGGCCAGTCCCTGTGCTCCTCAGAGTCCCAGCAGGAGTCCATCCCTGTGCTTCTCAGAGTCCCAGCAGGAGTCCAGTCCCTGTGCTCCTCAGAGTCCCAGCAGGAGGCCAGTCCCTGTGCTCCTCAGAGTCCCAGCAGGAGTCCAGTCCCTGTGCTCCTCAGAATCCCAGCAGGAGGCCAGTCCCTGTGCTCCTCAGAGTCCCAGCAGGAGGCCAGTCCCTGTGCTCCTCAGAGTCCCAGCAGGAGTCCATCCCTGTGCTCCTCAGAGTCCCAGCAGGAGGCCAGTCCCTGTGCTCCTCAGAGTCCCAGCAGGAGGCCAGTCCCTGTGCTCCTCAGAGTCCCAGCAGGAGACCAGTCCCTGTGCTCCTCAGAGTCCCAGCAGGAGGCCAGTTCCTGTGCTCCCCAGAGTCCCAGCAGGAGACCAGTCCCTGTGCTCCTCAGAGTCCCAGCAGGAGGCCAGTCCCTGTGCTCCTCAGAGTCCCAGCAGGAGTCCATCCCTGTGCTCCTCAGAGTCCCAGCAGGAGGCCAGTCCCTGTGCTCCTCAGAGTCCCAGCAGGAGGCCAGTCCCTGTGCTCCTCAGAGTCCCAGCAGGAGGCCAGTCCCTGTGCTCCTCAGAGTCCCAGCAGGAGGCCAGTCCCTGTGCTCCTCAGAGTCCCAGCAGGAGGCCAGTCCCTGTGCTCCTCAGAGTCCGGACTGGTTCATATGTCACTAATGTACTTTGCTAAAGTGCTGTATAAAACTGATGCATTATTATTAATATTATCATTTGACCCAAATCTGAGCGTTTTTAAGATTTCAAGCTTTACCGCAGTACAGAGGAGGGAGAGAAACTTTCCTTTGTTTTGAGTAATCCTTTTACGACTAAGAACATTCACAAATACACAATAACACAAATACATAATAACACAAATACACAATAACACAACTGGTGGCATCAAAACAGTCAACCTTCAAACCTTTCTTTCCTGTAATTTGCACGTTTGACAAAGCTACAGTGAGAATTGGCACGATTTATTGTCTTTTCAACATATGCCAGATTGATTTTCCTGACAACATTTACAGAGAGATTGAACACAAACTCCCACAATCCATCTCTTCTTTCTGTACAGTGACTCATTTCAGGCAAACCAGATGAAGATTGATGCAGCACGTTCGAATACGCTTCTTTGTGTTGTTTGTATAATTGTGGTAAAAGCAGCAGAGACCTGTTCCTCTCTGACGCTGAGCTCCATTCTAAAACTACATAGTAGTATTTAGTAGTAGTATTTAGTTTGATTTTTTTAAGTTCCTATTGCTAAAAAAAGAAACCAAAAAATATTTGAAATGACGGTTTATTTTTGTACACACATTTTACACTATATTTCATCTCCTTTCACAGAGAAGCGCTTCTGTATAAATGAAGTGGTTGAAAAATTCCTTCAACATATATTTTATATGTTTATAATCTGTATTCAGGCGTTTTTACTGCTCTAAGAAAAGAGTAAAATATAGTTATTTAGTTATTCTCTGGGTTAGGTGTTAGAATGAATGACATCAACTTTAGAGCACAGTATGAGGTTGATGTTCGGCACATATATTTTCCTAAATTCTTCACATTATTGACCCTGTAGGAAAGAGTGTCCTCTGCAAATGACCCCTTCTGTATTGGCTCCAGCAGGGGCCACCTGCCATTTTGAAATTTAAAAAAAGCCAAACTAACTATGAACATATTCACCTTTGTGTAATATAGAATATCTACAACAAACCTGACTGACTGACAGGAGTATTTGTGCGACTTCCTCCTTATGGGAACTCCAGCACTAAGACCCTGTTCTGGGGCTGCGTGCGGCTCAGGAGGGGGTCCTCTGGGACTGACACTGTGTCAAAGCTGCACAGGATTGGACTTGTCAGTGAGAATGAGCGATGGAAAAGGCCAGTGTCAAAAAGCCCTGTGTTTAGCTTGTCGCAGTGACAGGTGAGGAAATAGAGCCTGTACATGTCCTGCATGAAGAGAAGGGAGAGGACCACAAACACAACCAGCCTCTGCCGATCACACAACAACCACACGACAACCACACACACCACAACCACACAACAACCACAACGCAACCACACCACAACCACACCACAAACACACCACAACCGCAACCACACCACAACCACACCGCAACCACACCACAACCACACCGCAACCACACCACAACCACACCACAACTACACCACAACCGCAACCACACCACAACCACACCACAACCACACCACAACTACACCACAACCACACCATAACCACACCACAAACACCCCATAACCACACAACAACCACAACCACACCATAACCACACCACAACCACAACCACACCACAAACACCCCATAACCACACAACAACCACAAACACCCCATAACCACACAACAACCACAACCACACCATAACCACACCGCAACCACAACACAACACAACCACACCATAACCACACCACAACCACAAACACACCACAAACACCCCATAACCACACAACAACCACAAACACCCCATAACCACACAACAACCACAACCACACCATAACCACACCGCAACCACACCACAACCACAACATAACCACACCGGAACCACACCACAACCACACCATAACCACACAACAACCACACCAAAACCACACCACAACCATACCACAACCACGCCACAACCACACCGCAACCACACAACAACCACAACCGCAACCACACCACAACCACACCACAAACACACCACAACCACACCACCACCACACAACAAACACACCGCAACCACACCACAACCACAACATAACCACACCGGAACCACACCACAACCACAACATAACCACACCGGAACCACACCACAACCACACCGCAACCACTCCACAACCACACCACAACCACACCACAACCACATCTCAACCACACCACAACCACAAGCACACCGCAACCACAAACACACCGCAACCACAACACAAACACACCACAACCACACCACACCACAACCACACCACAAACATACCACAAACACACCACAACCACACCGCAACCACACCACAACCACACCACAACCACACCACAACCACACCACAACCACACCGCAACCACACCACAACCACACCACAAACACGCCACAACCACACCGCAACCACACCACAACCATACCACAACCACACCACAACCACACCAAAACCACACCGCAACCACAACCACACCACAAACACAACCACAACCACACCACAAACACAACCACACCACAAACACAACCACAACCACACCGCAACCACACCACAAACACACCAAAACCACACCACAACCACACCACAAACACAACCACACCACAACCACACCACAATCACACCACAACCACAAACACCCCATAACCACACAACAACCACAACCACACCATAACCACACCACAACCACCCCATAACCACACAACAACCACAACCACACCATAACCACACCACAACCACAACACAACCACACCATAACCACACCACAACCACACCACAAACACCCCATAACCACACAACAACCACAACCACACCATAACCACACCGCAACCACACCACAACCACACCATAACCACACAACAACCACACCGCAAACACACCGCAACCACACAACAACCACAACCGCAACCACACCACAAACACACCACAACCACACAACAAACACACCGCAACCACAACCACACAACAACCACACCGCAACCACACCACAACCACACAACAAACACACCATAACCACACCGCAACCACACCACAACCACAACATAACCACACCGGGCCCACACCACAACCACACCGCAACCACTCCACAACCACACCACAACCACATCTCAACCACACCACACCACAACCACAACATAACCACACCGGAACCACACCACAACCACACCGCAACCACATCTCAACCACACCACAACCACAAGCACACCGCAACCACAAACACACCGCAACCACAACACAAACACACCACAACCACACCACAACCACACCACAACCACACCACAACCACACCACAAACACACCACAACCACACCGCAACCACACCACAACCACACCACAACCACACCACAAACACACCACAACCACACCGCAACCACACCACAACCATACCACAACCACACCACAACCACATCACCACCACAACCACACCACAATCACAACCACACCACAAACACACCAAAACCACACCGCAACCACAACCACACCACAAACACACCAAAACCACACCGTAACCACAACCACACCACAAACACAACCACACCACAAACACACCACAAACACAACCACACCACAAACACACCACAAACACAACCACACCATAAACACAACCACACCACAACCACAACCATACCGCAACCACACCACAAACACACCAAACCACACCACAACCACATCACACACACACACCACAACCACACCACAACACACCACAACCACACCACAAACACACCACAACCACAACCACACCGCAACCACACCACAACCACACCACAAACACAACCACACCACAATCACACCACAACCACACCACACACACCACAACCACAACCACACCAAAACTACACCGCAACCACACCACAAACACAACCACACCACAACCACACCACAATCACACCACAACCACACCACAATCACAACCACACCGCAACCACAACCACACCGCAACCACATCACACACAAACCAAAACCACACCACAAACACAACCACACCACAACCACACCGCAACCACACCACAAACACAACCACACCGCAACCACACCACAACCACACCACAAACACACCAAAACCACAACCACACCACAAACACAACCACACCGCAACCACAACCACACCGCAACCACATCACACACATACCAAAACCACACCACAAACACAACCACACCCACACCACAAACACACCAAAACCACACCACAACCACAACCACACCACAATCACAACCACACCACAACCACACCACAATCACACCACAAACACACCACAAACACAACCACACCGCAACCACACCACAACCACACCGCAACCACACCACAACCACACCACGATCACACGCATACACTTCACACTGTAATGAGTTAAATAGACCTCCACACACTTTTCAGACCATAGGGTGTGGTCTATTCACTATTTTATTTTTATTTTAGGTAAATGTGACAACCCAGGGGCTAAACTTAATAATAATAATACATCAAACTTTTACAGCGCTTTTTTGGACACTCAAAGACGCTTTACAAAACACACAGAAATAATCATTGAAAAACAAAAAATTAAGGAAAGGTTTTGAGAAGAGATTGTGGAAGAGTAAAGTAAAATAGTGTTGTTTTTTATCTCCGCGTTCACTGTAGAACTGTTAGCACACAATCCCATGATGAATGCCATGTATGAAGCTACCAAATACTGTGTGCGTCGGACTGAACGAGGCAGAAACACAAACTGATGAAAAACTGAAATGTATGGACATAACACAAGAAGGTCCTTTATTCGTCCCACAATGGGGAAATTTCAGTTTGATGCATACACATATAGTACATACATATATACACATCAAGGCATGCAGCGAACATCATATCAGTGTTGCCAACTCCTCAGTAAGGAAAGTAGCTATTGGCTGTCCCAAAAGTCGCTAGAAGTCGCTAAATGACGTCATCGCCTAATTTGCATAATTTGCCATTTGCAAATAACTGTAACGGACGCTGTAGGAGAGAGGAATAAGGTCGTGGGAGAGACAAAAGTGAGTAAAAACACCCTAAATATGTTTAGAACTACAAATGTACAAAAATAATTTCAACATTAACAACATTTAATGATTTTAATGCTTTGTCTAGATCCACATTACACACATCAGTTTTGTCCTGTATTGTTAAATGTTATAACAGCAAATGTAATCAAAAGATTGTTATGTAGGGTGAAATTGCTAGCTCTACAACCAACCCTCCTCCTTTATCCGGGCTTGGGACCGGCAAAGTGACCCAAAAGACACACTCTGGCAGAGTTACTTAGGTTTATTTTTGTAAGTTTTTTTTTTTTTTCATAGTTTGGCATAACAAATGATTTAATGTGACCCACTACTGAGAGAAAACAGAGTCACGGACAGAGCTGCCGCGGATGGAGTGGGGGGTAGTGGGGGGTGGCGGTGGTAGGAGTGGCCGGGGAGCTTTGGATGTGTGGTGGTGGTGGAGCTGAAGTTCAGTCTGCAGCAGCCTGAAAACTCCTGTGCTTTTGAGTCTCTCTCTCTCTCTCTGCTCCGCCCATAGACTGTAGCTGGGACTGCTGCGCAAGGCTACTGTGAGACTGGCCGCCTGTAAGTGCTTTGGGACGGGGGAGGGGCTCACGTTGAGGACAGCAGAACAATACGTGCTTCACGAGTCTCCAAAACACCAGATAAGTCGCCAAAACACCAGATAAGTCGCCAATAACACCAGAAAAAGTCGCTAGATTTGTCGCTAGTCGCTTTTTTGAAAAAAAGTCGCTATAGGGGTCTGAAAAGTCGCTAAATCTAGCGACAAAGTCGCTAAGTTGGCAACACTGCATCATATCCGCGCTCCTTATAGGCTAAGTGGGTTCCACTTAGCAACCACCAACCCGCCGGCGGGTTGTTTTTATGTTTTTAAATGTTCTGCTGGCAATAGCAGATGTATTTTGAACACCAAACCCCAAAAGCTGTATATCATTTTAAAGCTTATTTTCTTATCTACATTTACATACAAGTGTAAACTACATCAGACTTTGCATTCAAAAGATATAACACATAATGTGGGCACAAAATAAATCAATTCGGAAATAGTTCTTTACCTTTGGGCTTGTGCTGTACAAATAAATCAGCTCTCCTCCCAGCTTGCAATACATCATTCTCTCTGGAACAGTCCAAAGGAAAATTATATCCACTTGTATTTCCCAAAGTAAAATCCATTCTGCAGAAATAATCCAAAAATGTGCATTTATCTTTAGCGAAAAAAACGAAAAAAAAAGAGCACAGATGTTACTCTTTCACTTGTAACGGACTTTTAGCTTTGTTTTTCACCCGAACATCTGGTATCTACGTGTTCCTTAGCTCCTTATCTTTCAAATGAGACTACTCCCGAAAAGCTAGACCAATTTTTGGGTCTGCAATAGGTCCCGCAAATAACGCTAGCGCTGCTGTTTGCGCATTGGTGACTGATCTTTTGTGGGATCCCAACTTGTTTACGTTTACTTCCGGGATTTACGATTGACATGTCCTTGTAGCCAATGAGGAAAGCTTTCGAACAAGGGGTGGGACAATGGTGTCCTGTCTTATCTTGGGCCTGGACCATTGTGCGTACTGGAAAATGAAAGACGCTCTCGAATCTGCAATGAATTTACACTCATAAAAAAATAACTTTGACATTTAAAAAAGAAAAACACACATAGATTAGTAACTTATAAGTACCAATAATAAAAAATATTGTTTTTATGATGATTAAATGTAAGTAAAGATATTTGGCACAATTTGGCACACTTGTGCCAAATTGTGCCAAATGTGCACTACTTGATGAAAAGGAGAAACTGCATAAAAACTATAAAACTTAGAAGTCTGAAACTTTAGACAGTTGTTGTCAACAACACAATGAACAGAGGGTTTGAATATTGTGAACTTACAATGAAGTATGCCTTTTTTAGGGCCTTTAGACATTGAAAATGTTAGGCGAGGCTAAAAAAATTGGGGTTTTTTCCCTAACTTCAAAGGATGCAGAGGAAAATAGGAATGACAAACATTATTTTAGTGTTTTTTTACATAAACTAGAAGGCTCTAGCTTTAAAATGATGCATCACACAAGCATGTGAGATGTAAGATGTGTTTTTAAATAAGCAAAGACATTTGGGTATGCCCAACCATTGTGCACGAGCCAAAATGAGGCGGTTGTTAAGAGGTTAAGTGTCTTGCCCAAGGACACAACGACAGCAAGCATTAGTGGGAGTCGGTGCAGAAGGTCCCGTGGTGGGCTCGAACCCACAACCTTTGGGCCCAAAGGCCAATGCTCTACCAACTGAGCTACTGTCGCCCCAATCAAATGTTGATAATACCTGTCTCTGTAGGCCTTCATGATGGAGCTGACAGCGCATCAGAGCAGTGTGGGCAATGTCCTTCAGGCAGGAAACCAGCTGATCGCTCAGGGCCACCTCACAGAGGAGGCCCTGAGAAAACTATGTTTTCTTAAATTTCAGCATTTTATCAGCGATTGTGCAGCAAACACTTTTCTCTGCTCATCTGTGAAGGATAAAACCATTTTCCGCGGCTTCCTTCTGTGGTTTGTCGCGGTGTAGTGTTTCTTTTGGCACCGCCTCCGATGGGACGTAAACAAAAAGATAAATCCATAATAGTTTTCAGTGAAGGTGTATTTTAACTGTGTGAGAAGGAAACACAATTATTCTCTTTTCCAGGAACATGAGATTATGCTTTTTCTAAATTGCTCACAAATGTGTTTTTGTTTAGTTTTAGTTTTAAGACAGAGCCTGGAGTTCTATTGGCAGATAATAGTTTGTGATTACAATTATAGAAACAGACTTTTTATGAAGCGCAATCAACTGAGCACCACATTGGATTTAATGAAATGCTAAACAGAATATGGTTAAACAGTAAAGATAAAACGTTTTGCGCTACTGTCACTCCAAAGTAATTGAATACAAAAAATATATATACATTTAAATTGGAATTGCCTTTAGAACATCCTTCCATCCATTTTCTTCCCCTTAATCCATTTCTGGGTCGGGGGGGTGACAGTCAGAGCTGCACCCAGTACACAGAGCACCCTCACTGATCCTCCTGCAGGTGATGAGTCCTTCGTCCATTTTCTACCCTTTAATCCATTTCTGGGTCAGGGGGGTGGCAATCAGAGATGCCACCCAATCCTCATAGCACCAGCCCCTCACTGACCCTCTGCAGGTGGTGAGTCCACAGGAGGACGGCTGCTCTCTGAGTGTGAGCATAGCCTTGATCTTTCAGTGGGGGCTAAAAAATGACGTGTTCAAAATCCCTTATAAAGATGACCAGGATTCAGAAAGTTAAATTCAAAAAGGTTTTATTTCCCTAATACAAAAAGAATCTAAACAGCTGTCCGGACCAAAAAGTAACTAATCCCTATCCTCTATCCCTATCCTCAAGCCTATTCATTATAAGTAAATGTGTAGGAAGAAGGGGCGTGTTGTATCAGGCAGCTCTGGTCCCGTATCTGGTCTTTGTCCTCCGCATCTCCAGACCTAAAATGAGAATCATTCACACTCCCCAAATCTATAGATTTATTACTTCCTTGAGATAAGGCAGGAGTCCCAAGGCTGCTGTCACTGCATACTCTGGCCCCCCAGATTAACTATCATTAACTATTTCCTGCCCTTCTGGACTGCAAGATAAGAGAAGACAAGGTCTTTTTGGCTTAAGAAAGAGACAGAGTTCCATCAGTCATTATTGCCACATCTGTTCAGTGTATATCTAATACAACAGTCTACAGGAGCCTAGATCTTTCAGTGGGGGCTTTTGGCAAAGTGGGGTTAAGTGTCTTGCTCAAGGACACTACGACAGCAGACATCAGTGGGAGTCGTGGATTTGAACCTACGACCTTCAGGCCCAAAGACCGATGCTCTACCAACTGAGCCACTATAGTCCGTCCTGTTCTATGTCATTTAGCAGTGGTATGAGTAAGTTCACATGTGTGTTATCACTTTGCTCTAAGCATCTAGAAAATATTGCTGCAAGAACCAGGAGATTATAAATATGAATTACCAACATCGCAGCAAAGGAACAGCAGGAAAACCTCGACATGTTTTTAAATTCATGCTTCAACCCATTTTACACTGTGCAGTGAAAATTGTAAAGAATGGTCAGAAATTGTGGTCTTTGGACCTAATGGTTGTGGGTTCGAGTCCACCACGACCCATGTCACCTGCTCCCACTGATGTCTGCTGTTGTGGTGTCCCTGGGCAAGACACTCAACCCCACATTACCTGAAGCCCCCGCTGAAAGACGAAGGCCATCCAGTCAATGACAGAGAAGCCATGAGACTTGGGGCAGCTCTGATAGCCCCCCCCCCCCCCCCCCATCCTGGTCTCAGTCATGCCTTTAAGACATAGGAAGGATATAACTAACAATTGTAATTCTCATTTATGCTCTTGCTTCCTGCAGTCAAAATGTCTACGAAGAAATTAATAATTCAAAACAAAGAATCTTTTCATTTTTAAAGGTCAAACAAAACCAAAACCATCAAAAAGACACATTTTTCTGGAGCAATAAATCCACAGTGTATTGAACTCTGATAAATCCGTTGATATTTCTCGACAGAACCTACAGTAATATCTCCCAGATCAAATAAACGTCCCCATTCATCTTCGGGGCCGCTCTTTTCAGTTTCTCAAAGGTAGAAGAAGATTTAAACCTATGATTTTCACTCGTTTGGACTTCCAGGTTCATATCTTCCTCTTTTTCTGTGTTTTTAAAAGGCAGTATTACAGTTTTTAATCATATTAAGTTCTTGATGTCCAATAAAATGGCCAGAATACAGACATTTCATGAATTTTTAACACCCGGAAACAGGTCATATCCTGGAAAAGTGCAAAATGATGTCGATGAAAAGTGCGTTTGAGTTTAAGAGATTACATTTGATAGATTTGGGTCAATAAAACTTTCAATGGAAGTATTTCAAGTTTTTCTAATGAGAATGTTTTAAATATTCAAGCTCTCGTCGTGCTAAACTCTTGGGTCTTATTATTTTCAGAGTTTGTTCTTTTCTCATATCCCAAGCACAATTTCATACACGAGGCAACTCAAAAACAAGAAAGCATAAAAATCATAAATAATCACAGTACATTAAAAAGAAAGATATAAATATAAAATCCCTCAGTTGTAGCACAGCTAAACAGAACTGTCTTTAACCTGGTTTTAAACATTGTCAGAGAGGAGGCCTGTCTCACATCTTCAGGAAGACTGTCTCAGATTTTAGCAGCATGAATCTGAAATGCAGCCTCTCCATGTCTAGTCCGGACTCTGGGCACTAATAGGAGTCCAGTCCCTGTGCTCCTCAGAGTCCAGTCCCTGTGCTCCTCAGAGTCCGGGCTGGTTCATATGGGACTAACATGTCACTAACATATTTTGGTGCGATGCCATGCGAGACTTGTAACAAACAGAGTTTTGTGTTTTAGACAGTTATAAAATCTATTCTCTGAGCCACAGGAAGCAGAGACCTGAGGACTGGACTAACGTGATCATACTTCCTGGTTCTAGTGAGGACTAATTCACCAACAAAAACCACCTCAGCCCATCCCTCCCCTAACCCATCACCAAAAACCCCTCCACCTCCCTGTCCCCCTCGTCCAACACCCAAAAGCCACCCACCTCTCCATCCTCCTCCCCTGCCTTCCCCTTCCCCTCTTTTCTCTAAACACTAGGATGCACAGGGTCTCTGCTTCGCAGCCACTGGCAGTCTAGTTAGAGGAGAGACCCGGCTGGGGCCCTGTCATGAAGCCACCTGTGCCATTCCCTTAGTGATAACACAAAGAATACATTACAGAAAAACATCTGAAGTTAATCAGTCTAATCTGGAAAATCTAATTCTTGTTCCGTGTAAGAATCAGCCGACCACAACCGCTGATCCTGAAACTTTGAAACTTGCTATGCTAAATGTCAAATCTCTTTGTAACAAGTCTTTTTTTAATCAATTGTAGTATCTGATCTTTTATGTCTAATAATTACACATATATTCAAATTAGGGCTGTCCAAAATAGCGCGTTATTAACGCGTTAACGCAAATCAATATTAACGCCGTCATTTTTTTTATCGCGCAATAAAAAAAAAAAAAAAAAAAAAAAAAAAATTATTATTATTATTTTTTTTTTTTTTACTTTTTATTGCAGACAAACACATATACAGAAAAAAAAATAGAAACAAAGAAAAGGACTAGTTCAGATACATTGTAGACAGAGATTACAAACAATATGTAGTTGGAGATACAGGGGGCCAAAGAAGAAACCCAGAAGGGCACATAGGAGGGGAGGGGGGCATGAAGTGGGAGATGGGGGGGAGGGGTTAATAAAAAAGGCAATACAAGCAAACAGTATACAGTCATAGATATACCGAAGGTAAACAGAGAAACAGCATAGAGTATTTACATGAACAAATTTACAAAATATTTACAGATTGTTTATCATCATCATAATGACACCATGATGTTTCTATACAGTCTATGGTCTATACCCACACATACACACACACACCCACACACACACATTGAAGGGGCTTTTTGTTACCAATTATTTATTTTGTCATCCATTTATTGATGATTTTGCATCAAATGTTAGTGTGTAATATAATACTACACATTGTTTTCAATAAAAAAAGCAATTGCACAAAGCACGCAAATGTGTGACTAATTTGCGATTAATCGCGAGTTAACTATGAAATTCATGAGATTAATCGCGATTAAATATTTTAATCGTTGGACAGCACTAATTCAAATGTATTATTGCATTGAGAAACTGGGGGTGTTTTGTTTTAGATTTTCAAAGATCATTTTACTTGCAGTACAAAATCCACATTGTTCTTTGCATCAGGTCTTTTTCTGTCTTTGCCATCTACTGCAGGGGACCCAGGCTATGAAGCCAGCCTGTCATTTGCCTTTATTCTGTTTTATATATTAAACCTACTTTTTGATATCTAAGCAGATTCTGAGCATTTCCATATCACAATCACTGGTTGTGCGAGGAGGAAACCCAGTAAGCCACATAGATTATTTACCACACAATAATTGTATTTGTTCTCATAATCTTGATCTTATGTTTATGGCTGAAACTTGGCTTGACCAAAATTCAGGAAATGCAGTTTTAATAGAAGCATCACCACCAAATTTCAAATTCAAATCTGAAATACGTGAAAACAAAAAAGGAGGAGGCTTAGCTGCCATTTTCAGAGACCACTTTGTCTCCCATAGAATGTCTCTTGGGAAGTTTTCGTCATTTGAATATGTCCATCCATCCATTTTCTACCCTTTAATCCATTTCTGGGTCAGGGGGGTGGCAGTCAGAGATGCCACCCAAGTCCCATAGCACCAGCCCCTCACTGACCCTCTGCAGGTGGTGAGTCCACAGGAGGACGGCTGATCTCTGAGTGTGAGCATAGCCTTGATCTTTCAGTGGGGGCTTTGGGCAAAGTGGGGTTAAGTGTCTTGCCCAAGGACACAACGACAGCAGTCATCAGTGGGAGTCGGTGGAGAAGGTGTAGAGGTGGGAATTGAACCCACGACCTTCAGGCCTGAAGGCCAATGCTCTACCAACTGAGCTACTGTCGCCCCTCCATTTGAATACGTGTCTTTTAAAATAAAAAAAATTAAAAAAAAAACTCCTCCAATACTTTTCATTGTCCAATACAAGCCACCGCTGTCATGTCACAGTTTTATTGATAATTTTACCGAGTTGCTTTCAGTTGTTTGCACAGATTTTGATAGTTTGGTTATTACAGATGATTTTAATATTCATGTGGATAATGTTGATGACAGAAATGCAAAAGAACTGAGTTCTTTACTTGAATCCTTTGGTCTCACTCAGCATGTGAGTGGCCCCACCCACAGCAGAGGGCACACTCTAGACCTGTTAGTTACAAAGGGGGTGAATATTTTGAATGTAACCGTGGTCGACGTTGCGCTTTCGGATCATTTTTGTGTATTTTTTGACATGTGCTTCATTAACAAACCACCAGTGGACTCTGTTTTTTTACGGTTTTTAATCATATTTAGTTCTTGATGTCCAATAAAATGGCCAAAATACAGACATTTCATGAATTTTTAACACCCGGAAACAGGTCATATCCTGGAAAAGTGCAAAATGATGTCGATGAAAAGTGCGTTTGAGTTTAAGAGATTACATTTGATAGATTTGGGTCAATAAAACTTTCAATGGAAGTATTTCAAGTTTTACTAATGGGAATGTTTTAAATATTCAAGCTCTCGTCGTGCTAAACTCTTGGGTCTTATTATTTTTAGAGTTTGTTCTTTTCTCATATCCCAAGCACAATTTCATACACGAGGCAACTCAAAAACAAGAAAGCATAAAAATCATAAATAATCACAGAACATTAAAAAGAAAGATACAAATATAAAATCCCTCAGTTGTAGCACAGCTAAACAGAACTGTCTTTAACCTGGTTTTAAACATTGTCAGAGAGGAGGCCTGTCTCACATCTTCAGGAAGATTGTCTCAGATTTTAGCAGCATGAATCTGAAAAGCAGCCTCCCCATGTTTAGTTCTGACTCTGAGCACTAACAGGAGGCCAGTCCCTGTGCTCCTCAGATTCCCAGCATAAGTCCAGTCCCTGTGCTCCTCAGAGTCCAGTCCCTGTGCTCCTCAGAGTCCCAGCAGGAGTCCAGTCCCTGTGCTCCTCAGAGTCCGGGCTGGTTCATATGGGACTAACATGTCACTAATATATTTTGGTGCGAGGCCATGGAGAGACTTGTAACAAGCAGAGCTGTTTTAAAGTCTATTCTCTGAGCCACAGGAAGCCAGTGCAGAGACCTGAGGACCGGACTAATGTGGTCGTACTTCCTGGTTCTAGTCAGGACTAATGTGGTCGTACTTCCTGGTTCTAGTCAGGACTAATGTGATCACACTTCCTGGTAAATATTAAAACAAAAAGTGTGCACGCAGAAATTAAAATGATCTACAAATATATATGATGTATGAAGGGGAAGCTATTGAATGAATATTTTAAATGTGTGTAGATTCTGTAGAGACGGTGACGGAGAAAAG